GATAGTTATGTTATTGATTTTTATTCTCGTGTTAATGAATATTGGAAAAACGAATGGAATAATTCACTTAAACATCTTGTTCTTTTATCATTAGCTGGTGGTGACAGGTAAATTTTAAAAAAATTTTAAAATAATCAGTTAGTGTTAAACGTAACATTCTCGAATATTGTTTTAAAACTTAGCAGCAATAGATTATTATAACTCGAAATTTTTCGTCAATGTGAATGTTTATGTATATCAGTGACTTGTGCTATTTTGATACGTTATTCTAGAGATATGATTATTGGGCAATTGTATACTGTTTGAGTTTGCACTCAGTCTGCTTCACAGGTTGAAGAGTCATTTAGCCTTTACAGGCTAATTCGCGGGTTAATACAGATTTTATTAGTAATCTCTTTAGTTACAAATTTGTTAGTTCTTTTTACATATACCTTCGGTTTGTAATTATTTGTGAAACTAATATATATTCATATATAAAATACTAATATAGCAAATACAGCTTCAACTTGGATAATAAGGACGATAAATGTGTAAAAAAAGTCGAAGAATAATTAGATTACATATCTTTCATTCCTAAGTTTTTCATTGAACGAACTAAAGCTTGGCTTTGTATGGGTATGGGTTTGTTGTTTAGCATGGCTAAGAGAAGAGCCACACTCCAAGTACATGCATATGCGTATATACTTTAAAACAAGTACGCAAATAACTGGAACAAAGATGTAATGAGAACAAATTATAGAAAGAATCTAAGTGGTGAAGAACGAAAGAAATAGTAAAAGGAACTAAATCAATGGAGGAACGAAAAAAGGCATGAATAGTGAACATAACTATATGCAGAACGAAAGAATGAAAAGCAAAATTTGTAAATGGGTTGAACCTGCAAATACACGTGAAAATATAACCTGACCAGCAAATTATGACAAAAACTTCTAGCTCGTGACCCGTCAGATATTCAATCCGCGTATGGCTCGAGTGGGTTGAATCAAAATAGGTAAGTCAGCCAATATATCTAACCTACACTCTCAAGTTATGTCTCATTAGTGAAATATACCAGAGATGTACACCACCCGTATGCGTCCTAACGAAAAATATGACTCATTTTTGGGTAGCCGTTCCGCCTTCGCCTCTCTTCTTATTTGTCCGCCGGGCGATCGCGCTTTAATTATACCGGTAGTTAAATTCTATCTCTAAAAAGTTTTAAAAAAGAATTTACATCAAGCGCTGAAAAAGTAAGATAAGAGACTTATTCGTTGACAGGCTCATTCTTTCTGAGATACCGTTTGTTTTATTATCTCATTTCTTAAATTTATAAATTAAATTGTAATCAATGTTGATTAAAGATTATCCTGATAACCAATCGACCTAACTCAAAATTTATTCAGTTTCATTGTGACGAGCATAACATTCAAATTTGTGCAAATTCAATTACAAAATACGTTAAGACGAAAACGAACACCCTATAAGTATATTTATACATGTCCGGTTACATCTTGTTTAATTAAATATTCTTTCGTGATATTTTCAACTTTATACTATTGTTCAGAAATAAAGTACTATTTTTTCAAGAAATATTATAGAGCAACAAATATGAAGAAGAACTTGACGGAACACTTCGTTTTTTAGGCATGGTACATATCTGTGAAGTATGCAAACAGTTCAAATCATTTACATATATAAATATTCGAGTTGCAATAAACTATTGTTCTTAAGATTTAACATACTTTCCAATTAATACTAATAAATGATTTTTTTTTATAGAGATCATCTTGTACGAAGTGATCTATGTTCATTAAATGGTCTCACTGATGAAAGTCGATCGATTGATGTATTAACAAGTGCTGTACCACATGTATGGACATCAACTGATCATCGTTGTATTGTTTGGTGTAGACAATTAGTATTAACAACAACACGTGCATTACTTGAAATCATTCAAGAGAAAAAACAAAATCCTCAAGCAATTATGCAGGTTGTTTTTATTTTGAAAAATTTATAATGATATTTAAATGTTTCTTTATATTTTTTTTTTAGATTCTTAAACGATATTTTTCTCCATCTGTTGATTTTAATCATGGATTAAAAACAGCATTAAATTTAACAAAGGAACCTACTATAATTACAGAATCAAGTGTATCAATTCGTAGCAAAGAACAAAATGATTATTTAATTCCATTGAAAGATTCAAAATTTCATCGAATTATTATTCATTTAACACATACTCAAATTTATTTAAAAAATCATGATATTATGACAGATATAACTAATACTCTTATACCTATTCCACCAACCTATAGTAATCGTAAAATGATTCAATTTGATGTTAAAAATTTAGATGATAATCTAAAACAATATGATTCAATTCTTATTCGACTTGAAAATCAAAAAGCCCAAGTTGATATATATCAAATCGAAAATAATGAACAAATAGTTGAACTTTCAACGTAAGTCACATTGATTTAAACGAAGTCTAATTGTCATGAAAACATTTCATATGAGCACATCTATTTTTTTCTTTTTCGTAGAAAAAGTCTAAAAAAAAAGAAATCCCTATCTTTTATATACGTAAAACTAATGAGATTGTTATTTTATAAATAAAAAAAAAGGTTCAAGTGCATAAGTAACAATGCTTGACATAATTAAGAAGATGTCTTGAAGCCTATAGTACCGTACAAAAATATGCGAACAACATATTTTTGAATTTTTTTCTCCGATATCAATCGTTTAACTCAAATCCAAGTAGTGATTTGAATAACGAATGAAGTTCTCTATCAAATGCATTTCATACCAAAATTCCATTGATGGATTATGAGAGGAAGGTTTCTGAAAAACCAAAAGCGGTGGTTTTAAGGTCCTAAAAGACTTTATGAAAATTAGTTTTAAAAAGTACCATATTAAAGAGCACAAAATCCTGTGTAAAATGAGGAGTTGCTACATTTCCTACGACCTTTTCTTAAAAAGTTATAAGCATCACAAAGCGAAATTTATCAAAGCATTGCTAAATGACGCAAGTTTTTGTTTTTGTGATGCTTATAATTTTGTAAGATAAGATCGTAAGAAAAGCGACAATCCCTCATTTTACTCAGAATTTTACGCTCTTTAATACAGTACTCTTCAAAATTAATTTTCTTAAAGTCTCCTGTGCCTAAAAATTATCGTTTTTGATTTTTCCGAAACCTTCCTCTCATAATCCATTTATGGCATTTCGGTATGAAATAGATTTGATAGAGGACTTCATCCGTTATTCAAATCACTACTTGGATTTGCGTTAAATGATTGATATCGTAGAAAAAAATTCAAAAATACGTTGTTCGTATATTTTTATACAGTACTGTATATGAAAAGTATGAAGTAGTACATTAACTCGTTTGACATTAAACAATGTCAGTGATGATCGGACTATTCGTCGCGGATGTGTGGATGTGAATGAAGATCTTTTGTATATCCACATGCTCTATATTTCAGTTATAAAATTGTCAAAAAGAAGCTTTGAGTCTATTGTAACTTTCAAGATGTATAGGAAAAATTGGCTGAAATATATTCGACTTCATTCCTTTGAGATATTGAAAATACAAAATGAAATAACAATTAGACAGTTCATGATATTCTTTTGAAAATTTCGTTTATCAATAAATTATTTCCAATTCTAGTTCTTTTTTTTTTCTTGTTAAAAGATTTGATTCACAAACATTATCTTTCAATAAAACTGGTTACGTAAAACTTGTCTTTCCAACACTTATTCATCTTTGGCAAGTTTATAATGTTTATTTATCCTCAAATAATCAACAAATGCCATTAATTCATTTTCATGTTCCATGGTCAAATGAAGATCTATATAATTTAATTACATTACGTAATCCTTCATCTCCATCAACAATTCTTCCAAAATCTCTTCATCGTCAAATGCGTTTAAAACTTCATCGACCATCTCCATCAACTATTGATGAATATCCTTCACTGGAACTTTTTCTTGATTCAAAGTTATCATATAATCTTCAAATAACTTATTCATTTCTTGATATATTATCTCAATTAATACGTTATTATATATATTTATTACCAACATTTCTATTTACTGTTCTATGTATATCGTATTCACTTCAAATAAATGATATTAGACTTCGTACATATCAAACAATGCTTGCATGGCAAATACATATACCAATAGCTATATTAATAACAATATTGTATAAAATAATAATTCATTTATTTCCATCATTAAATTTTGTTGTGAATATTCATTCAAATGGTTATTATTTTTTCTTTTTACCATTAATTATTTATTTTCTTGCACTTAGTCTATGGGCTTTAATTTCATTTATAATTGATTATTTAATATTTGATTTTATTCGTATTTTATTATATCCAATATTAATTTGTGCAAATAATGAATTAAATTTACAATTAGGATATACTCGTTTAATTCAATTGGTTTTTTTATTAATGCCTTTATTTTCAGCAATAATGTTTAGTGGTTCACAAGGTCATGTAACATTATTTATGATAGCTTTATTACATATAATTTGGCGTGGAACAATCAATGGACGTTTAAGAGAAATTTTAACAACAATACTTTTATTTCATGGTCTTCTTGTTTTTCTTAATTTAACTGGTTTTATTATTCATATAAGAAGTCTTATAATTCAAGGTTTATATCCATTATTTATAATGATGTCGGATCCATCATTTTTATCAGCTATTTGTTGTATATTAACATTTTATCTTCGATTTATATTTCCACAATTACAAATACAATCCATTCAAACTATAAAATTAAATTTTTTAAAATATAATCGTAGTATTTTAATTTTATTAGCAATAATTAGTCAAGTTTTTTGTTCGTATTCTATGCATCATTTATGGATATTAACTTCTTTTATATTTATTCATGTAGCTGTGATATTCTTTAATCCATCACATCGTGACTAATATTAGGATTTGAACTTATTTAAAAATTTAATTAAAAACAAAAAGACATCTTTTTATTAAAATAAAATTAATAGTTATTTTTTTCCACTGTCACGACGTGCAGAATCTAAATAATAAATATACAAAAACATTGCTAATGATAAATTTAATCTTTTTGGTTTTACACTTACTATCATTTGATCTATCTCTTGCTTGATCGGCAAGTCTGTCCAATTGACGATCTAAATGATAAGAATAATATGTTGTGTTTGATATTATTGAATAATAAACATATAATTCATTTTACTTGGGTACTGAAGAGAATTTTGTTGAGGATCAGGTACAGGACTGTAAGAATGCGGTGAATTTCGATCCTCATTAAAACGATTTCGATCATTCATTCTGGTATTGACACTTGAATGATGGTCATCATCAGAGAATCGTGATGTTGTTGTTGTTGTTGTTGTTCTTGTTGATTCATTCTAAAAGTATTTGTTGATAACTTAGGTCAAAAAAATTAGAGATAAGATTTTCTAATGAGGGAATATATTCAACTGCTGGATTCTGTTCAACTTCGCATTAAGGCTATGAGTAGATCTTAGAAAGACTAAGAGAGGCTTAAAACGATTCGCACCCATACCCTATTATTGAAGAGTTATGGTGTTTTCAATGAAGTTTTTATTGAGAGCAATGCATTTTCGAAAAAGTCCAAAACAAAAAGTTTCGAGCTGAAATGATGTCTATAGGTATTTTTGTAGTGATTGGATTGTCCTGAAAATTTCAATGAAAATGAACATGTCTTTCCTGAGATATTCAGTTTCCAAGTAGACTCAATTACTGTGGCCTCCTATGGTAAACTGCTGTGTTTTTTGATATTGAATATCTCGAGAAAAACATGTTCGTTTTCGTTAGAATTTTCAAAACTATCTAATGACTATCAAACGTACCTTTAGACATCATATCAGCTCGAAACTCTATGTTTTGGATTTTTCGAAAATGTCTTGGCCTCAATAAAAATTCCATTAAAACACTACCATAACTCTTCAATAGTCGGCCATGAATGCGAATTGTTTTAAGTCTTTCTTAGTTTTACAAAGACTTACTCGTAGCCTTAATACGAAGTCGAACGACATTCGACAATTGAATATGTTCTTTCGTAAGATCAGATAACTGTATTAAAACTTGTAGTCTCAGAATTCGCACACTAAATTATACTATAAGATTCTTGAAAAATCTCACCGACACATAAGTTTTCCTAGAATCTGATAGTAATATCTTACAAGGCAGCAAGATCTTGGACACGTCCTTCAATATGACTTGATGTAACTTTTCCAGACACTACAAGTTTTTGTACTATTTCCATCTGATCTTGTAAAATCAGACAAGATCGGAGGTACAATCTTATAAGATATTACCATCAAATTGGTTGACCTGGGAAGTTTTACAAGAATCTCGAGATATGAAACTTCCAAGAACAGCTATAATGACATCAATCTGATCTTTTAAAATTAGATAAGTTCTGTTATCCATGAAACATATCAGATCTCACAATACGAATCTTACACGACCTTACAATATCAAATGTGAAAGTACAACTGAAAATGCGTGTCTATAAATTCGACTCGACTTCTTTTAGAATCGCGATTTTGTCAGCCTACGATCAGTTGTTTTTATTGTAACAGCAGAAATATATTTGTCTCGTTACACACAAATATATCAATCCACAAAGAGAAGAAAACGATATATTCAATAAAGAGATATGAATACATAATCACACATTGAAAGAACAACATGATAGTGCAACGGTAAAACCTAATACAACAAAATAATCGAAGGTAAACAACAGTGAGAAAAGACGTCCAAATGCAAATATAAATACAACGGTGCTGGCGAAAGCAGAATGGAAACTGTTTTAAGAGTGATGGAAAAAGTTCTAATGATAAGAATATGAATAAAAGAAAGTAGGTGTACTAATATAGATCTAAGGAGACAGCCATTGGAGCATATGTTTAACGGTATAGGCGTAAGTGTATGCCTACATTGAGTTATGTACCATGATCTTCAATAATGACTATCTATGCATACGCATTATGTATTAAACTTGAACTGGGCGCTTCTTTCACTGTTATTGAACAGAGCTCTAAAGAGTTGTGAATTATTTTAACAGAGTTAGAATATATAATGAAATTCAACAGTACGATCTTCTATGACCATACAAGATCATATTGTCCGATCTTATACATAGCTAATTGTACGGTGTGATGTATAAGATTTCTAAGATCACGATTTCTTGCATGATAATGCACGATCTTGAAGTAAGATCTGATATGAATGTACTAGAATGTATCACCGATTTTACTATCCGATTTTCTGAGCTATGTTTGCATAGAGACAAATCTTAATGAGAATAAATTATTGTGAAAATTTCAGATATTATCATTGTTTCTATCCTGAGATATAACTATAGTAAATTCGTGTCTTTTACATTGCTTATCTACATCGATAGATTCGATGTTCTTATTTCAGGATAGAAATCAATCAACAGACTCAAAAAGTTCACGATAAATTATCCTCTTGAAGACTGGTCTCTGTGCAAAGTTTGAAATCGAAATTCGAAAATAAGTATTCATGGTGTACCTGAGAAGAACTATGACATCCAGTGAAAAATAATTGTATTGCCACAGTATCTCCACAGCAATAAGCTAAAGACCTGAACTCTTTTCAAGATATTCATAGCTCATTAGAGTCTACATGATGCAAATAGCCTCGACTAAAAAAAAAACGATTAATCAGTTGGGAGACTTCCCTTGTTACTATATTTGTAACATCTTACCGTCTAATTCTTTGACCTGAAAATTTGAAATTATTTACAACTTACTTGTTTTATTGATGATCTTGCCATACTGTTTACAAGATCACGAATGTCGTCGGTTTCTTGAACTGTTTTGACAATAGCAAGAAGATCCTCTGGTTTGTTTGATTCATATGTTGTATTACGAATAGCTTGTACTGCTTTATGAGCATTGTCAAATTTATAGTCTCGTAAGCTAGGAGTGAAATGATGAACTTCACTAAGAAATAAACGATCGACACGCTAGAAACAAAATATTTAAATTTGTTATATTCGAAAAAGGAAAAAATATAAATAAAATAATCAATAAATATAATCGTACTACAAAAGTAAAGTTCTAAAGAATAAATTCATCTTAAATCTAATCTTTTATAAAAGATTATTTATGAAGAAAAAACTTACATCGGTATTATGGTCATTTATGTTATGAACGGCATTGAATATATTTCTTATTGGATTTCTTTCCATATCTTTTTTGAGCAGTTTTAACGGTTCTATAATATTATCGAGTAAACCAGCATCAATATTATCGTTTGAATCTATGATTTTCATTTTCGATTTTATTACCGATTCTATTTGTTGTGGATCATTTCCATAGGCCATTGATACACGTAAAATAGAATCGGGACAATTTTTAATATCATGTGGAAGTTGCGCTTTCAATCGTTCAATATCACATTGATAAGGATCATAGTCACGTTTGATCTTGGCAACTTCTAACTCAAAAATTGGTTGAGTTATCGTGTCACCTTGGTTGATTTTATTTTGAACAATACGCTAGATTAATAAAATTTATTACATTAACAATAAGATAGTTTGTACAGTCAAACTTTACCTTAAGTTCGCGGACTATTTTAAGTGTCATATCATCAGGATTAGTCGAATGCTGATCATCCTATGAAGAATTTTTATTAGACTATATGAATCATAAAGAAAAGAATAATGAGGAAAATATTAAATTCTAAGCTTTACTTCTTTAAATTACATTGCTGTTTTACATTCATATGTAAATATTTTTCTTAACAATTACTCGATAAGAACTTCTTGAACTTGACAACAAACAATGATCACAGATGTTATCTGTTCAAGGTTTTTCCAATATGTATGAATATATCACATATTGTCTCTTTTTCTGCCAATCATAATATATCATACATTGGTTTTTTCTCTGTTCTCTAGTACGTGTATCATACTTGAAATCGGATCAGCCGGATTTTTTATCAATTTTTAGAGCATTAAAGTTAGTTTACCTGAAAGCTTTTGATTAACGAATTTCTAGTAGTTATCAAAGTTCCAGCTATACATATTGAGTTCACGCTATCTCATCATACAATGAAAGTCTTCTATCACGCTGGATGAATTTTGTTATAGTCATGAATAATTAGCAAATCATCAGAAACTGAATTTGATCTAAACGAAAGATTGTTCGCCTCAAAATTTCAATATCATTTTTCTGAACTGGTTTTAACCGACTGTGAGAAACTGTTAAGAGTTCGTAGTGGTCAGGCTAATGCTTTCATTACAAAATATTAGAAAGGATTTCTTTCTGCTGTAAATGTTATGCTGACTACTAGTCTCATGTAACTATGAAAATATCTACGTGTTAAGAAGTTTGCAAATATGATGTTTAGCATAAGAATCGAACATTCTAGCTCGCTTTGTCTTCCTATCGACAGTATTAGTTTAATACGACTTGAGAAGTCTTTCAGTTGTGCAGTATTTTATTTAACGTGAAGACTAAAGGAGCAGCGCCTCTCGGAAAGATGGAATCAGATCTCTCGAAGTTTGTACTCATTGTACCACATACAATGTGTGTATACTTCCAAAAATAGATGTTCTCTCTCCTGAAGTTTTAGATCATTTCTCCGGAAGGGAAAATCTGAAGAAAACATCAAACTTATCAATTTCTGGCAAGATATCCTATTATTATCGGAGAAAGCCAGACAAAACAAAAGCTAGATGTTGTTTGATATCAGTTGATGTAAGTTACTAGATTAAAAGTTTTGAAAGAGTTCTTTCTTCGTTCCTATATCAGTGTATATGGAATGTGTCAGAGTAAAATCGAAATTGTTTCTATTAGAAATTCTGAAAGTTATATGAGTTTCACATTGCATGTCTTCGTAGAACAGTAGTCTTTTTCTCGAAAGAACTAGCTCGGTAATTGATATATAAAACGGATCAGTTTTTCGCCGGTCCAGTTCAGTCGTAAAAAACTCTACCAATTCCAAATATGATGTGTATATCTAATGCATATATGGATTGGTTCTTTTCTGCCATATATGGTAGTGATTGTCCTTATTGTTGTTCATCCCATTTATATTGCGGGCACCAAAATTTTTCAACAAGGTTTATTTCCAATTTTTTCCCGCTGCCGTAAGTGGTAAGAAGAATCCAAATAGTGATTAGAATAGAGAAAGTTATTTCCAAAAGAAATTTAAGGAAATAAAAATTATTATCAGATTTTCAAAAGTAGGTACTCCAGAGAACTAAAAGGGTAGTTTTTTCAGCACCTAGAATAGGTAAATATAATTTCGTTGAGGCTACATAGAATGATAGAGTAAATCATCCTCTACAAAATGAAATATCGGCGAGTTCTCTACGACGTTTTCTAGCTGAGATGCAGCAAATTGATTGGAGATCAAAAAGTGGTTTTTCTATAGAAAATTGAAAAAAAACCGACTTTAGGGGCTTCCGTAAGATCATTATATCTCAGCTAAAAAGACGTCACAGAGAACTTGAAGATGTCTCATGTTGTAAACAATTGTTTACTCTATCGTTCTATGTAGTCTGAACAAAATTATATTTATCTATTCTAGGGGCTGACAAAACTAGCCTTTTGGTTTTCCGGAGTCCTTGTCTTTGAGAACTTGATAATGATTTTTATTTTCTTTTGTAAACGATTTTCTCTATTTGAATCTTCCTAGCGCTTACGGCGATGAAAAAAAATTGAAAATAAATATTGTTGAATAATTTTCGCACTCATTGTATATACATACATATCTTCTTGTCTGAGAGTTCTTATGCTCTCTTGTTTTCCTTAGTTTCTTCTGCTTCTTCTTCCTTTGCAAAGTGATTGTCATAAATAAAACTTACCCTATTTTGAACAACGAACGCCGAAAAACCAATGCGTCTATTTGTACGATCACTATATCCAGTAGCCATTTGTTGAGGTTTTCTTTTTCTTATAAAACAAAATAAATATCGGAAAAGAGAAATAACAACATTAATAATCATTGTAAAGAACTATTAAAATGGAATTTTAGAAATAAAATTCTTTCTTTGTTTTTGGAATATTAATACATATCGTATTTGGTAGGGAATCTCATATAAAATTTTAATCATTACTTAGTTTTAACATAGAAATCAAATTTGAAGAAAATCATTTTTGCAAGATTTTCATATTATAAAAATATATATCGTTTTTTTCTTCTTCTTCATAACGTTTTCATATCAATAGAAAAGAAAATTAGAGTAGAATTGTGTTAAAAATTTATAAAATAAAACAATCACAAATGTATCATAATATTTTATTCTAAGAAAAAATATTTCAATGATAATTGGATATTCACATACATTATCATAGTTCATGAATAAATAATTAAAAACAAACTAAAAAAAACTTATTATTTGATTGAATTAGGTGTTGTTGTTTATTTTTGTGTAGATCACTTATTATGAAAATTTTGGTTTTGTTATTTTTTTTGGTTTACCTAATAATTGATTTAAATTTTGTTGAGATAACTAAAAGAAAATAATAAATAAAACATAATTACAAATTTATATATGTATATATATGTATATACTTCAATTAAATTTTGTCTTGTTGCGTTTGCTGGAATAGTAACGGATGCTTTGATAAGCATTTGTTGAAGATTATTATCTTCATATATTTCCCTTAAAAACAAATAATTCTTATAGATATTGTATTTTTAATCAACTTACCATGGTTCTAATTCATAACGCCAAATAAGTGAACACAAAAATTGTTGATAACAAATTCTATTAAATATAACTTAAACAATCGAAAAAGATAAATACATCGAGATTTCATACTCGCAAAATCGATGTCCAGCGATAGGTGATGCTGGTCTTTCACAGTCTTCAACTGGGCATATATTATTAGTGGACACTTCATTCTGTTCAAGTTCTTCTATTACATTAATATCATGATCCTAGAAAAAGAAAGTGATCAATATAATATAAAGAATGATAAAAATAGAAAATAATACAAACATTGAGTAATTTAATAATGATATTTGTTTGACCAATACGAGTTTCACGAAAACAATTCGGAGCACAATGAGCATGTAAGCCGCTCTTAGGTGTACAATTAACTTGTGGACATATCTAAATATTAAAATATTTCTATAATTAATTATATATATAAATTTCTTTTTACTGTATTTTTCTTGGATGAATAGAATAATGCTGAACACATTCGACAAAATTCTGTTTGACATTGTTTACAAGTAAAATGTTCACAACCTCCTGCTTGACTATAAATTAAACAATCAATATACATAAATTGTTCTTTATTAGATATTCAACTTACTATTGATAAATACATTGACAATTCGAATTAGGACATACAATGGCAGTTCTACTTAAATATTTTAAAGTTTGTACATTTGGATCTTCAGGATCATTGTCTGCTAACCATTCTTCATATTCACTACATGACATTTCAGCATGTTCAGGACACCACTAGAGAAAAAAGAAATTTATTGATTTTGAAAATAATTATTCAATGTTCATAACACACTTTTCGACAACATTGTCTACATTGAGCAAATGCACAATGAGGACAATAAACACAACCAATATTATCATTGTCATCAATAGAAAAACAGCTGATACACTAAAACAAATAGAATATAATCAAATAAAAAAATACTAAATCAATGAACTTACTGTCGAATTACCACACTTTTTAATTTGTTTATCACGTGTTGCATAAAATATTTTATCATGATACATTTTAAGAATATCAGGTTCATTATGAAACCATTGAGTGAGCTAATTAAAAGGAAATTTGTTTTCGTATCAATATCTCTATATAATTACTTTAACATACTTTTGCTTCTAAATATATAAAAAAGTTCATTTTCGTATCACCTGTTATTTCATGTTCTTCGGAAAAACATGTTAATTTGTTTAATGATTTAGAATCTTGAATTTGATTTATATTATTTCGATAATAATTTTTAAGACATTCTAGACAACATTTATGATCACATAAAAACATAGTTTCCATTTGACTTCGTGGAAAAGACGTAAGACATATTGGACATGATATTGATAATGAATTAATTGCATTTGTTCGAAAATTATCAGAGAATCCTAAATCATTACGTGAATGTAAAATATTTTTTATGGCAGCTATGTCAAGATTTTCAATAGCTTCCATTGATAATTCACATAGAATTGACGCTAGTGTTTCAATTTTGACAGGTACTTGTCGACCAATTATATTCGATAATTCACTATAGAGTAAACGATGCATTTTCTAAAAAGACAAATTGGAAAACAGTTTTTATAAATAATTTGTGTTTTTATTCTACCGATAAGAAAATTTCATCCGTATCTGTATCATTGTTCTTTTGTCGAAGTTTTTGAATAGCTGGTATGAGATGCTGAACATTTCTCCATTGCTGAATAAAAACAAAATGATTATAGAAATAAGAACTTTCAAGTAATATTCAGTCTTATATAAATAACGTTACAGAACACTCGCATATAGTTAATTTTTTATACATTTATTAGAATTAAACAAAAATCTATTCTTACTAGAACTTGAAAGAGGAAGAATACTCTCTCTACTTTTCAGCTACCTTGTAGTATAGTGTGTCACCTAACGACAGATTCAGTGATCCAATATCTTCCCTACAACTATGATTATCTGTAGTTCTAGACAAAATGACGGTCCGATGCAAAGTTCTTGATTCTGCATATGCACTAACTAATCACAAGGGCAAATGTATGTCCTAACATAGTCGGCATGCTATCGAACTGGTGATCCGAAACAAATAGTAGTTAGTGACTCGTCCTAGCTTGCTAGATCTCAATTCAATATCATCTCTTGTCCTAATTAATAGTCTATAGATTTATTTGTTATTGTTTCAAAATATATGATAAAAGACTAACTAATCAAAAAGATCAAGATTATCAAAAGCTAAATACATACATCGTCTTCATGTAACAATTGTGGAGCTAAATTATTTTCATTCTTATATGTACTCAATAATTTCCAATGTTTTTTTACAGGTTCCACCGAGTTAGCTATTGATATCTTAGTTGATTGGTTTGAAACAGGTTGTATAGTAGGTTGTGTCTAAAGAATACTTTTTTTTCAAAAAACAAAAATCTCAGATTTGTTGAAATAAAATTTACTAAATTTGGTCGATTATGATGTAACATTTCAATTGCTTCATTTTCATTAAAATTCGATCGTATTAAACATACAACATAAACATCATCTGTACGAGGAATATTCATTTGATTATCATATTGTTTTAATAAACGTATTTTTTGATCAATTGTTTGATCAATATAATCATCACCAACTTCAATCGAATGTGGATTCTTTTGTTTAAATGATACAAGTGCTAATTTTCGAAGAATAAAGCCAAGTGTAGGAGGTGTATCATATTGTGTTACTAGACTTTTCTAAAAACAAAATAAAACCTATTTTTCATTCAATTAAAAGATTTTAAAAAAGAATTTATTTTCAACCTTAAATAAATTAACTATTTCAATTGTTGCTTTAGTGCCTGTTTCAACTTCTTGTCGCCGAGGAAGTGTTTTTGGTACAAACTAAAATAAAATGATAGTTCATATGAAATTTATATAAATTTAAACAAGATATTTACTTTTGTGCTGGAACTTGAATTTCTAGGTTTTTGGTCTTCATCAGCTGAAAACAAAAACTATCATTTTTTTTTTATCAATTTTCTTAATGACATCCCCCTATTTCGATGAAAAATTTCGAAGCAAATAGATCTCGACAGATAGAGCGAAAGTTATCCTAGACTTAAAATCTCCGAATGCTTCTTTCTATGTAATATAAGAGACGCAAGGATTAAAAATAACCTGAAGTTTTCGCTCGACTATTGTTCCAAAACTTATCCGAAAACAGCTTGAAAAAAGGTTGATATTTTTTGATTGTTCACTGACACAATATTTTTTTTCAAACAAAACAAAAAAACCTACATCCCGATTTAATCAAAGTTGCCATAAAACAAAAGTTTCAGCTCAATTCATAATTTTTCTTCGTTGAACTGTATTCAATTTATAGGAGGCTTCAAAGGGTCAAACACGGTGAAATCATTGAAATTTCTCATAAAAACAAATTTGGATTTTCTGTAAATTGAATGCAATTCGATGAAGAAGTATTATGAAGAGAGTCCAGATGTCTCATATTGCTCTATTAAATAAAACCGTTTTCAAAAAGCTCCAAATAGACGCCAGAAAATTGATTGTAGAGGATCTTGATTATTCAGATATTCTGATCAAAGTAGTTTTTAGGTCCAGAAATCCTGATAGAGAATCCTTTTAGTTACTCAAACTTTTTTCAGATTCTTCTTAACTATTACCATCGAGAAGAAAATCTTCGTAAAGTCAAGCTTTTCGTTTGTATGACAATCGAGAGAGAGTATTTGAATATCTCTTTAGATTTAATAATCTTGACATCAAAAAAATAAATTGGTTTTATACAAACGCTTACATGCACTACTATTGTCTGAATAAGAGTGTCTGTTGGAATTCTAAATATAAAGAATAAAAAATAAACAAAATTAAAAAATTTCCTATTCTAATAAATACTTTTACATTAATAAATTCTTCAAAATTATTCAAAGAACCAGTTTTGGCACTTTTAAGATCATTATAAAACCTACGAAATTCACTAATACCATTAAGACGACGTTCGCGTTCACGATCTGATTTTGGTGATTGATAAACATATTCATCTCTATTATGACGAATATATCCAAAATAATTTAATAGATCTAATATTTCAGCCTGAAAACAAAACAAATTATATAAATAACCTTGCACCAATAATAAAATCAAACAAACTTTTCCAGCAAGTCCATTAACAATATCTCGATTAAGAGATGATCCTTCAGGCATGTTTGATACTGCTATAGATTTAAAAGGAGCCAAAATTCTTATTAAACTAATTAGATCTTCTTTAATCTATAGTAAAGAGAAAAAGTAGGTACATATTTTAATGGTATATTTTTTGAAATTAACAAATACAGACTTTATTAGGACGAATATTTGATTTAACAATTCGTTCAGCTTGTATAAGACGATATGATGAAAATGGATTTGCCATATTACAACAGACTTTTAATAATTAAAATCTATCATATAAAAATGAAAAAGTCTTTATTTGACCTTCTCTACTCCTCTATTCGACAGACACTCACGTGGTTTTACTTAACGTAAAAGTAATACAAAAAAAGTTTTTTTTTTCTGTTTGCTATTATTACCTTTTTGTTTCGTTCTTTCCTTTAAGCATGCAATTATGAAAATGTGATATATGATGTTGATTGGTCAGATACTGAAATCTACTGGGAAAAACCAATAATATGAACTTGGAAAAAACCCTTCAGATCGTACCACATATATTTTTTGTGACACATTAATAAAGGTGAATCATTAGAAAGTCAATATCTATACATAGATATTAGTATTCTCTTCCTTTTAAACAGCTTTTTCTTTAATTGAATTAGGAATTTGAAAACAAGACTATTCGAGATTTATGATTAAAGAATTCATAAATAAGTTTGAATAGATACAAATTTTAAAAGCTTCTTACCAATTATTATAAGAAGAGTTCCATTAAATTTTCGAAGCTATCGTATAAAATGTCGAGTTCAAGTTTTATAGAATTAAGATATGATATGCAGTATGAAATCTAAAATCAACACGAAAGAGAGAAGAATAAACAAAACAAAATACGTAATCTATTGTGTACGACTAAGAGACGCAAAGACAAACAACAATAGTGACAACAAGTACATCAGACACATGAGCTAAAGAAATATTGCTAAATCCATACAGAAATTACGAATCAATCAGAACGAATATTCTTCCTCTATCGTTATCCAATTCTTTGCTTTCGTTTTTCGTTTGACTGGCACATATAGTACATGGATTCAAGACGAATTATGCTTACGTATGTCAATTTTTCAAGTTCGACTTTTTATTTGAAATACGTCAGCTTTTTTTTTACTTTCAGAATAATAATAAAAATGTTTCTTCTAATTTGAGGAAGCCAGTGTTAAGAGAGAATGAGCCAGTTCAAGATTTTTCCAATCCATGCTTCGAATTATAGTAGTCATTCTAATCGTCGACAGATGAATACGACATGATTTGATAACAATATTTAACGTATAGTTGAAATTTAGTAAAAAAAAATCATGTATGATATAGGTGTAATTTTGTAGAGCATGAATAAAATAAGTAGATAAATCTATTAGTCCTTCATCATTGATTATGGTAGATTACATTGCATTTGCACTAAGACATGATTTTCAACACAATTGCGATTAATTTTTTTATTTGATGTTAATAATGAATAGAATGAAATCAATTATGAGAAAAACTAACGACTATGTTAACGATTTAATTAAATTAGAATACTTCGATATCAAAAAGACATTGCACTTTGTAGTTCTTTAAGTTAAATGTAAATGAAAATCTCAGTAAAACTATAATTTTCGCTCAGTCGAAAACCAAGTGATTATGATTAGATGATTTACTGAGGAAAAAATTATAGTAATAGTAATTAGCTATAAAATTTTCATTTGGAATGATGTGAAAGTTTACCAAAAAAAACAACTCCCCATCAAAATTTATCATAGACTCATGTACATCCAGTTTCTTCAACGACAGACTAGAAGTGACGGGTACTAACGATAAACATAATTAGTTCTTATATTATATTTTATTTATTTCTGTCTAATCTCAACTAAAATATTCCGAATTATTTCGCATTGAAAAAGAGACATTCGTAGCTACAGTAGAAGTGTTTCAAAAATTGATTCAATGTATTTTTTCATTCAGATTGACTCTTATCAAAGCAAAGGTTGTGAATCATACCTGTTCTTTCATTCGAATGGCATTAGTTTAGCCGAAAGAAAAACAAATGTCGAAAAAAGTTTATTTTGCGCTTCTCAACCAGGGTGATGAAGATATTTTATTGCATACAAAAATCTGAGAGACGTATTGGTCAGCTGCGGAGAATGCACAGGTCGAGTGGATTTTTTTCTTGTTCTTTTGTATATAATTTGACAAAGTTTGACGAGCTGGGCATGAATTTATAGGTTTTATTTCGATTTGACTAGTGTTTGGTTAATGAAAATCGCAAAAAAACTCGAACGACTGTATGTAGCATTTGCAATTATGCACTTCCCTTTTTTTTTTATAGAAATTTTCAAATTTTGATTACGTTCTTTTTTTCAAACTTTATTAAAACGTTTTATTCTGATTCAGCATAAAAAAACTGAGTAGGAAAATGTTATTTATTTAGATTTAGAATTAATAAGATTAAAAAAAAAATCTTGTCCAATATAGATAGCTCTAGAGTCCTACAGAATAAAGCTTTTTCATACTTTAAATTCTACTCTACAGAAATATTTTTGCCCCTAACCGTGCCGTACCCTGCAATTTCCTGATTTCACTAGTTGTCAATTTTAAATTTGTCTTTACTAGCTTTTAAAATACTTAACTTAATCTTTTTCAAATCTTCTTTCATAATATCAATCAATTACACACGATATTTCTGTGCCAACTGCTGAATTCTTCTTGAGCTATTGGTCGGGTCTGATAAAAGGGACGATGCTGAAAGTACACCAGCATTCAAGACACCATGGCTTAGCATTATTACAAAAGTCATCGCCATTCACACTATTGAATGAACGCATATCAAATGCACAGCATCTGAAATAAGCGAATGTAATCATTGATTTATCATTCAATGAATGGAACCGTATACTTTTCAAATATCTTTTTAATTAACATTCTCAATATTGAAGTCGCCGTTTTCTGGAGACAATTTTGAACACGTTGTTGAAGGAAATTGGCTGCATTTTTTCGATTCGTATGACA